AACATCTATTGCCTCCAAACAAGCAGCCAAGCTCCCAAGCTCTTTGGAAAAATAGTTCCACTTGTTAGAAGTACAGCATCTGTAACTGTGCCGAAGTCAATGCTGGATGTATGATGTGACATCTTAAAGAACAGAAAAATGAAATATGACTTCAGTTGATTTTTAAAAATGATTTCTAATATATTTCTTTATTATTCAGATCCATTGAAATGTAGATTCATTTAATCCATGTTTTGAGTCTGTTCTCAGTAGGAAAAGAGAGAAGGAAGTGTTAACCTCCTTGAACAAAGGAAGAGCAATTGGTACTTTGTCAGAACTGAGATAGCCCTCCCCTCTGGCTCAGGTAGTTGGTGTCACCTTACAGAAAAAACTTTTTCCCCCCTACCGTATGGAATGTTCTAAGATTCTCTAAGACCACCAGCTTTCCTAAAAAATTACTTGGATTCGCCACAAAGGTTTTTTTTCAGACAAATTAAGAATGTTTCTTAATTTGATTTTTGAAGTGGCTTATGTCAGGCTGTCAGAACTATCTCACAATTTGCAGGACAAAAGCCAGGTAGATGCTGTCCCCTGTTGACTCTCCAGTGCTCAGCAGAGTGCCCAGTATGTGGTCGGTGCCCAATAAGTATTTGTTGACCACAAAGGTGTTTGTCTCTAGTGTTAGTCACCCCAGCCATCCTGACAAACGAAACCATCAGGAAATCTCTGGTCACACATCAGAACTACCTGTCAGATTTCTGCTCTGGTTTGTATTTAATAAAATTTGGGATCCTTTGGCAAGATTTTGGAAGACCAATTCTTGATTCCAAATCACAGGCTGAAAGAAAAACATATTGTGTAATAGCTTCTTATGCTTGGAGTTATCATGTAATCACCAGAAGAAAGCCAGTTTTCTTCCTATCACCAGTCTCCATTGCAGGGACTTTATTATGTCTAAAATTGGTAAAAAAAAAAAAAAACTATTGAATGTGCACGTAATGCAATGTAAAGAGCCATCTTATTTTCAGAACTTATAAGAGTTTAGGCTTAGCTGTGAGGGAAGAGTGCAGAAGGGAAAGGAGTAAAGGATGGCTTGTCTGCATTTCTACACCAAAAATACTTTACTCGCCTTAAACACTAAAAAACGTACTGCACTGTTGTACAGTCTCTCGCAAGCCAGCACTCTGCCACTTTCACAATAGAGAGCATTATGTTCCACTTGCTGTCCAGAGGGAACGTAACTTCTCTGCTATTCCCCGCTGGTTATTTAAGGAGGCTCCCTGCGGTGAGTGTGCAGTGTTGCTCTCTCTGGCTGCCCTTGTTACTGCAAATGTCTTGTCTTCAAGCTTTATTTTCTGTCCCTCATTTCGAGTCCTAGTAAATCCTCTTTAATTCGTAAGAGCCCTTGGCTCTCAAAAGGAAATGTCTTGTTTTTTTCTATGTAGAGGACAATACTAAGATTTTTTTTTTAAGTTCAACATTTTAATGCAAATGTGGGAATAGACAAAAATCTTGAAAGAGCTTTGTTGGATTACATCCAAGTCTATATATGCAAACCAAAATGTTTTTCCATTGTGATGTATGCATCCTGCAATTTATTGGAGCTCATCAGACTATTTTTCCACGCTTATATTATAGCGCTCATGTTTACTCTGCTACTACTTTGTTTTCGTGCCTCTTGCATGTAGATCGAACAGGTCTGTGCGTCGTCACCGTGCGTGCAGACTGAATTGATGGACACCCAGGGGAGGGAACTGAGATTTATTTCGCAACTTCAGCTGCGCCTCTGGTAGTTTTTATCTCCCTTTTAACACAGTAGCTTAAAGGTCTTATCCAGTGCCTACCATTCGTCAAGTCATAAATCATGCAACTGTATTAATTATTGGCCTTCACGGGTTTTTTAGGGGCTCAACAGGTCCTCCAAAACGAGTGTGCTTTGGGGCCTCATAAACTGCAGGTGGTCCCCGGTGGCCCAGCAGAGGGAGCATCAGATGAAGTGGTCAGCCCTGCCACGTGCCCTAACCTCAGACAAGTTGCTTCACATCCCTGAATTTGTTTCCTGCTCTGTGAAATGATGATAGTGATATTTTTGCAGGGATCTTTGAGGTTTAAATCAAATAACGCAGTATATGTAGAGTGTAGAGGGCTCAGCACGTGCTAGCTGCTGCTGCTGCTTCTGTCACTGATGTCCCCGCAAAGTCTCCCAGCCACCTGGCTGCGTGTTAATTATTAGAAAATCAGTTGGTGTTTGCTATGATTGACTAACAGTCATGGCTTTGCAGCTCCTTAAGGGTGTTTTGCACACTTCTTTGAGTTGCCATGAACTCGCTGTGAACTCCCTGAGGAACACCCCAGAGAACATGCTCCCGGCCGCCTTCTGCCGCCAGGTCCCCCGGGACCCTGCCAGCTGGGCAGGGCACAGTGTGCTTCAGAGCCTCGTGTAGGTACTTGGCAGAGAAGAATCCCACTAAATTTAATTAGCCTGATGTTTTTCGTCACTGGGACATCTTGAACTTTAAGCACACATGTTTCTGTAATTTCTAGACTTCAGTCCCAAATTTCAGAAATGTAATGCTCTCTCCTAAGATCTATAATTTCCTTATCCCCAAATTGAGCATTCTAAAAACTCGCATTGTGGCTTCAAGGCGCGCCCATTCAGATTGCAGCTGTAAGATTCTGCTGTACGTGCAGAGCCTCCTCAGTTACCAAATGGACGGCAGAAAGTGCATTAAAATAAATTAATCATTCATGTGGTCATTTTATTTACATTTGCTCACACTGGGAGTGAAGTAAGTTTTCAAACGCCAACACACCGTGGGGTTTATAAAAACATGCTAGGAGATTTCTTACTGAACGGCTGGAGCCACGGAGCAAGGAGGACTTAAAGTTAGGCCAAGGGAGGCATAGACGGAGAAAGAGCGAATGAATGCAAGGAAGGTAAGGAAGAGGAGCCGCTGGCCGCCAGGCAGCAGCCGGGCAGGGGCTGCCCGTGTGGGAGGCGTGCTCTTTAACTGCGAGAGATGAGGACTCTGGAATTTGGCGGTGGCAGCAGCCTCACTGTCGTGAGTTCCCCGGCTCCTGCGCACCCTTGCCGAGGGGGGTGGCTGTGCAGCCCCCGCTGGAGCGTGCTAACTCAGCCGCCCGAGGCTCTTTCTCCGGTCCTGCGCGGTGCCCGGCGCTGCCCGCCACTCCTGTCCTGGTGTCTCTGCTGCCCCACACTCCCCTGGTGGTTTCTCAGCCCACGTCCTAAAAACCACTGTTTCCCTGGGGGCCTCTCCCCTTCTCCTGCCGTGGTGACTTCCTCCCATGCATGGCTCAGTGCCTACCAGATGGGCAGATCCTGTCCCGGGCCATCTCCCGAGTTGCAGACTTGTATTTTCACCCACCCACACCTCCAACTCTGTGTGTCGAGGCCAGACCCCCCCCACGTGTGTGCCTCTTCCCAGAGCCGAGGCCCTGGACCGCCCCCCACGCCTCGCCTTCTTGCTTTACAGAGCAGGTGCTACGTTAAAGCAGCTGGTCTGCGGTCGCGCCACTGCACTCCTGGGTGACAGAGTGAGACCCAGCCTCTTAAAAAGACAAAAATAAAAAAAGCAGTTCGTGTCTCTTCTTGTGACAGGGTCAATGTGTGACACTTCCATTTATTTCACCCTTTCATTTTGTAAATATGTATCAAATTTATATAGGAGGCTCTGCAAAGTAGGCAAAATGATGAACATGATAAGATCTCAAAAAATGTATGGATTAAGAAAAAATCGCAGAGATACCTACAATACAGTTACATGCTCTGTCTTAGTGAGTTCGGGCTGCTGTAATTAAGCGCCATAGACCGGCGGCTTGTAAACGACAGACATTTATTTCTCACAGTTCTGGAGGCCGGACGTCTGAGATCAGGCACCGCACGGCTGGGTTCTGGGGAGGGCCCGCTTCCAGGGTGGAGACGGCCTGTCTTCGCACATGGCAGAGGGCGAGGCAGCTCTCTGGGTCCCTTCCATAAGGCACTAATCTCATCATGAGGGCTCCGCCCTCGTGACCTGATCATCCCCCAGAGGCCCCACCTCATAACACCATCACACTGGGGTCAGGATTTCAACAGGTGAATTTTGGGAGGACACAGACATCAGTTAGCATGCTCTAAGCGGGGAACAGCCCACCTTCACCCCGGGCCCTGGCTCTGGTTTACCCCTCATGCCTGTGCTTTACCTGTGTATAGGGTGTCCCTCTTCCTAGACCAAGCGCTTCCCACCTTTGTGATAACAACACATCAAGCCACTCCCTTGATCTTTCCCCAAAATTTGGTCTTCAGGAAACCTTCCCAGGCCCCCCTCCCAGGCTTCTAACCACTCCAGCCCCTCTGGGTATGCAGAATGAAGTTGAGCACTTATGTGGGCACCACCTCTAAGCAAAGATTTCACATACAGTGGAATGTTTTTGTCGTTACCTTGGCATCCTACTTGTTTTTGTCCCTCGGGTGCCTTTAGCCAGAGTTCTTCAGTACTGGCACTATTGGTATTTTGGGATGGATAACTCTTGGTTGTAGGGACTGTCCTGGAGTTACTGTAGGTTTCACAGCACCCCTGGCCTGTACCCACCACATGCTAATAGCAGCCCCTCCCCCAGCCGTGACAACCGAATATGTCTCCAGACGTTGCCAGATGTCTCCTGGGGCAACATCGGCCCTGGTGAGCGCTACTATCTAGACTGAAGCCCACTCAAGGGCAGGACCTTCCCTCTAAGGCCCTGGAGGGCTCTCACACAGTACTGTTGGGGATCTTAACTTTTCCTTTTTCTCTGTGACTTTGAACTGTGCTAATTGCCTCAGTTGCAAAGGCAGTGAGCAGAGAGAGTGATTCCAAGTGACGTTCTGAGATGCTTTTTTGATCTCTTTTTGAACCAATCTATCTTTTGAATATCCACGTGGAAGTATGACATTCTCTTTTTATATATTTTTATACTTAGCAGTAAAATAAAACTCGGCATTAAGGATCTCATCGTCATTTACTTTTATGCACCTTCGGCAGCATCAAGCGGACCAGCTCTTCGGAACGAGTCTCTCCTGGTGGTCGCAAGGAGAGCAATGGGGACTCCAAGGGAAACCGGACTCGGACCGGTTCTACCAGCAGTTCTTCAAGTGGCAAAAAGAACAGTGAAAGGTAAGGATGTCGTACCTGCTGGCTCCCTCGGTCCAGACATTTTGTCACCTCTCACGCCCAGAGGTGAACGGAAGAGTCCCCAGTGTTCAGACAAGCTGGCAGCTGTCTCGGGGGCACAGGCCTTGCGCTGAGGTTGCCGGGGGCGCCGCTCCAGCAGCCGTTTGGGGGCGGCTGCCGGTCACGCTTCCGACAAATTACCGTCCAGGTAGAAAAACTGTAACCCGAACTCCCAGCACCCTGTGTAGACAAAGTATTTCCTGAGAATTTGCCTGGTGCCGTGTGTGTGGAACTTGGAGAGCTGTTCTGAATTTCCATGTGGAGCACCTTATACTTCTGTGCACCCTGCTGACATTTTAAAATTAATTTTAATGGACTGTCTTAAGTTTGTCAGCAGTATTTTCTGAGACAGAGTGGGTGAAAAGCTGCAGTTTTGTGATTTGTCAGAGACTGTTTTTAATATTGATACTAACATCAGAAATGCGAACCCCTTTTTTTTTCTGGTTATGTGGAATACAATTCTAATTTTGAATTTTTCTATAAGGTTAGTTAATAATGGATTATGATAAATGTCTGTGAAACTAATAGTCACATTTCATTTTTGAAAGCTGCTTTTTGGCATTTTAGCAGCTTGTCTTATGCCTGCATAATGTATTTATATTTACATAATGTATTATGCAGATGAGATCAGTTTCTCTGTGTGTATCTACCTAACGTGGTACTTTAATTTTATTCTCTCTGTTTAGCAAAACTTGGGAAGATATTTCAGCTTCAGAGGCCAAACATTTTTTTTCCCCAAATGTACATGTAAGGAGAAGGCTTAGTCATAAAGCATTTGACTCCAACCCATAGGCTGTAAAAATTCCAAGTTTGTAGATCTATTGTTGCAGTTCAGTCCTATAAAGAAAGCTTAAACTTTTCTTCAGTTTTATTCCTTAAAGATATCTTTTGTAGAAAAGATAGACACTTCTCACATCTGTAGCAGGTCAAGTCCACGGGCAATTAACAAATTCACAAACTGTCGTTATGGGTTCTGTCTTCTAACTTAGACTGCTCAGTGGCGACAGGGTGTGAGTTAGTCGAAGGTGCTTCTCTGAATGTAGGGTAAGCTCAGAAGTTGACCTGAAATGTCTACATTTTGGCAGTTCTTAAAAACTTGGCTCCTCCCCTGCACATCTGATTTTTATTAAGAATTTCCAAAAGACTCTGCATTGTGTAAACTCCAGATCCGTTTTATCTTTAAAGTCTCATGGCTTTGGTAAATGTGCTGGGTAAATATTTCCTAAAAGATATTTACAAAGGGATTTTTGAAAAGTGCCATGCTAGGAAATTTTGATTTGGAAATGAGGGACTAGGAAAATTTACTAATCATTTCCCCAGAAGAATTCAGGCAACTAAACATGTCCATTTAAAAATAAATTATTGGCCGGGTGTGGTGGCTCATGCCTTTACGTAATCCTAACACTTTGGGAGGCTGAGGCAAGAGGATCACTTGAGCCCAGGAGTTTGAGGTTGCTGTGAGCTAAACTGACCCCACTGCACTCTCACTGGGCAACAGAGCAGGACTCTGTCTCAAAACATATATGTATAATGATAATAATAAATTCTTTATCTCATTAGAACCCAGGGATGGTTGAGGCCAGCATAGCGCAGAGCTGATTGAGTTGCACAAAAGGCCCAGGGGGCTTTTGGAGAGAGTTACATCTTCTCTTAGGTAATTGCTGGATTGCTGGTGCTGGTGGATACCTTTAAGGGGCCCATAGGAATAACAGCAGGGGTAACTCAGACAGACAACAGCAGCTAGGAAGCAGTAGAAGTGAAGGTCAGCTTGGCAACTCAGTGGCTGCCTGACCTCTTCTTCTCCATTCTTCCTCTCCATTCCCGTGTGAGCAGCCCCAGTCCTGGGCTGCTTTGACCCAGCACCAAAGTAGAGCTAGTGTCTTGCTGAGAAATGCCTGTCTTGGGGACCTGGCGTGTGCAAAGAAAAGATGTAGAGAGGTGGCCCCCTCCAAATTCCTTTCTGAAACATTACTGCATTCGGTGGTGGTCTCAAGATGGTACAGTCTCTTCCCCAACATTTACGGAATTTGTTCATTGCCCTAGTAGGCTGTCCTGCATTTTGAAAGATTGTCCTTGTTTGGTTACCAAAGGCAGCAAGACAATGGAAAGGGCACAGGAGCTGCAGTAAAAGAAAAATCTGGGTTTGTAAACCAGTTCTTTCTGCCTTAACTTCTCCAAACCTCAGTTTTTTCTTCTGTGATTTAGGAAATTTAAACCTAATTCCCTTGAATCTTATAAATGAGCTAACTCATAGGAAAACGCCCAGCATAGTACTTGGCACTCAGTAAGTGGTCATCATCGCTACGATAGTTGCTATAAAAAGAGACTGTGCACAGCAGGGAAAAATAATTTATGAGACTTTCCAAAGTTCCAAACTTTATTTTCCTCATTTGTAAGATGAAGGCATTAGATGACATCTGAAGTGCCTAGTCTTTTTTCTCATATGACATGCTTTAAATTACATTCACATAAGTGACGCAGTCCAATGAGTACAACCTGGATTTTGACAAAATCTACCAGTGGAAAATAATGTGTTATCAATCCTTGTGATTCTTCCAGTTGGCATCAGGAGGTAGCTAGTCTGCAGGTCGTGGGTGATTCCAGTGCATGGTTTCAGTCTACCCACCGTTCCGGAGTCCTGGTCTACACTCCGGAAAGCTCACTGGAATGTAAGCGAGTGAGAATGCTGACACCAAAGGCATAACTTTGAATCTGTCCTGCTTTGTAGAAGCAGCAAATCGGTCCCACGTGGCAGTGCTTTAGCTTGTATCAATTACAGATTATTAGCTATAAAGCTCACAACTTTTCACACACCCTGTGCAAAGCTGTTGTTAGCACATGTGGCAATGTTGCACAAATTAGAAAAAGGCTCCCCTTACTCAAGAAAAACAATTCCATATAAGCATGTATGTATTTCTCAATAATAATAATTATGGCAAATATAAAGCCATTCCATATAAATTATACAAATCTTACTATTGAACACAAAATAAATGTTTGTGAAGTCCCAAACATTCACTTTTTTTAAGATATGATTTATTTTAAAATAATTATCTGTTTTGCTGTCATAAAACTGTACTATGACAATTTCTTTTTCTTTCTTTCTCTCTCTTTTTTTTTTTTTTTTTTTTTTTTGAGACAGAGTCTCACTTTGTTGCCCAGGCTAGAGTGAGTGCCGTGGCATCAGCCTGGCTCACAGCAGCCTCCAACTCCTGGGCTCAAGCAATCCTCTTGCCTCAGCCTCCCAAGTAGCTGGGACTACAGGCATGCGCCACCATGCCGGGCTAATTTTTTGTATTTATATTTTTAGTTGGCCAATTAATTTCTTTCTATTTTTAGTAGAGACGGGGTCTCGCTCAGGCTTGTTTCCAACTCCTGACCTCGAGCAATCCGCCCACCTCGGCCTCTCAGAGTGCTAGGATTACAGGCGTGAGCCACCGCGCCCGGCCTACTATGACCATTTCAATCATCTTGCTCCTATATCTCATTTTCTTTAGAAATGGTCACTAGGTTTAACATTTTCTTGTGACATGGTAGACCTTTATCTTAGAATGTTTATCATTTTAAAATCCTTTGCAACAGCTACTACATTTTAACAGCTTTCAATCTTTGCACTGACATAACTTCCATTAAAAACAAAAGCCATATAAGACATTGCAATATTTTTATTTATTATTGATGGTAAATGAATATTAATTATATGGTGATTCATGTCATCATAAAGGACTTACTAAATCTACATAGGGAATCATCAAATAACATTGTCATGGAAGACTTGTAAAATATAGCCAGCGTACTAATCTGGTGGGGAAGTTTTTTAAATTGAAGTATTTTATAGCAATAGAAAAATAGCTACTTATTTAGAAGCGCAGTTTATGTTAGATGTTGCTAGATTGATAAAGTGTTTCAGCTATCAAACTGGTTCCCCCTTTGTAACTCTGAGGGGAATGAGATATGTCAACTTTGTAATAAGCAAGACACTGGTCCCATCTAAAAGTTGTCACAATGAGCTGATTTTGTCAGAGCAAGAAGCGTTTCGGCCATCTGCCGGAAACTTTGCTGCAACATGTGTGTAAACTGTCCCCCTTTGCAGTCAACAAATATAAAAGAAGAAAACTTCAAAATAATGAAGATGCTCACAAGTGAGAAGTGTCCCCTCAGGTGTGGTGCCCTTCTGTGTCGCGTGAGCTGAGCGCCCGTGTGCGACAGCCCCGCGGTCCCATCGAGGCTGTGAGGACCGGCGGGGTAGGCGCCTGAGACTCCTTTCTGAAGCCCCGGCGCCCGGGGAAACGGCCTTTTCACTATTTCGCCTGGAGGTGCTCAAGGCTCAAAGTTGCTTTTCCTCTGCTTTCTCCAGTGCAGTGTCAAGTGGTGTGATCTCAGTCTCGATTTGTGGCCTGGGGTCCAGGGCCCGTCATCCTCTCCTGTGCCCTGACCCCTACTCCTCCCCAACACGTCACACACTTCCCCAGCAACGTTTTTTCTTTTCTGACGTAATTTCTTTCTTACACAAGTAACGTGCCTTAGGAAACCCAGAGGCACAAAACGGAGGAAGTGAGACTCACTGCCACCTCACCACTGCACGCGCTCACAGATAACCCGCGTCGCACTCCCACCTGGGCTTTATTTCCAGGGTGTTATGTGAGCCTGGCCTATAATCCTGGCATAAATGGATCCTCCTGCGTATTTTGTAATCCCCACCTTCATTTGCTGTGTGGGCACATCTTGCATCAGTAAATACACTCTGACGACATTATTGTAGATGGAGTGTGTCCAGCCAGAGGTACATTGTTTAGTTGGACATTTAGGTACCAATAGGTGTTTCCAGTCCTGTCAGACCAGGCCAACATCTAGACCAGTGCTCAGCACAGAGTAGATACTCAGGCGTCTGTTGAATGAATATTTCTACCCAATCAGTGTAACAAAAGAAGATTAAAATGATG